TCTCGGCCTCCTCGTCGGCCACTAAGCCCCGTTCTGCCATGCTCGCCTTAATATACTCGTTTTCTCGGGTGTTGACGTGGTGGTGCCCGTCCTGGCCTGGCACTGCCCATGACAGCACGATGCCTGGAAAAGGGAGAGAGGGGAGAGAGAGGCAGAGGAGAAGGAGGAGAGAGAGGAGAAGGAGCGAGCGAGCGAGAGAGAGAGAGAGAGAGAGAGAGAGAGAGAGAGAGAGAGAGAGAGAGAGAGAGAGAGAGAGAGAGAGAGAGAGAGAGAGAGAGAGAGAGAGAGAGGGGGGGTCGAATCATAGAAGGGAGGAGAGGAGGGAGGGTCGATTCTAAGAGGGATGAGGAGGGAGAGGAGAATCACAGGGGGGGGGAAGAGAGAACGAGAGAACAGAGAAAGAGAGAGGAAGACACACACACACACACACAAACACACAAGAAAAAAAAACATACAATAGAAAAAAAATCCCCAACCCCGCCCACCACTGCACCAAACCCACCACGATCCCAACCCCCTCCGCAACCCCACCTGTGCAGGCGTGCTTCACCAGATTATCCATGAAGACGCCCTCGAACGCCCTCGGGATGTGCTCCCCGACCTCGAGGCTCAGAACCCAGTCGAACCTCGCGCCCACATCCACGCGGCGGGCGAGGTTCAGCCGGCCGATCCTGCCGCGGCTCAGACGGGCGATGTTGGCCGCGCCGTCCCACCCTTCGGGGAGGAGAGGAGGATGTTAGTTTAGGTTTAGTTTTAATTCCATTTGCTACAAGGGATTCTCTCTGCTGTGACAGCTTGTCTGTTTTTATTTTCGCCAAATCTCCCCCTGTGCGCAAGGAGTGGCCGGGGTTACCACTCACAGGCCGGGCGTGGGATCGAACGCGGGTCCGCAAGATTGCTAGACCAGCACCTTGCCGCTGCGCAGCACAGCGCAGGAGGGAAGAAGGGAGGATGAGGAGCGGAGGCGAGGGAGAGGAGGGAGTGGATAAGGAGGGCGAGAGAGGGAGGAAGGGAGAGGAGGAAGGAGGGAAGGGGAGGAGGGAGGAGGGGAGGAGGAGGGAGGAGGGAGGGAGGAGGGAGAGGGAAAGGAGGAGGGAGGGTGGATGAGGAGGGGCGAGGGAGGGAAAGGAAGACGGAGGGGAAGCGAGGGGAGGAGGGAGAAGGGGGTGGATTAGGAGGGACGAGAGGAGGAGGGGGTAGATGAGAAGGAAGGAGGGAAGGGAGGAGGGGGTGGATAAGTAGGGAGGAGGGGAGGGAGAGGAGGGGAGGTAGGGAAAGAGGAGGGGAGGAGGAAGGAGGGGGGATGAAGAGGCGAGCGAGGAAGGGAGCGTGGGATAAGGAGGGGGCGAGGAAAGGGAAGGATGAGAAGGGTAGGGAGGGTAGGATGAAGGGAAGCAGAAGTGAAGTGGAAGAGAGAAGGAGGAGTAGAGAAGGAGGGAGGGAAGAATTGAGGAGGAGGGAGTGAGTGAGGTGGGGATCATAAACGGAAAATGGAAAGGAGGTAGAAGGGAAGGTACAAGAAATGGTGGGGGGAGGGTGTAGTAGGTAAGGAGAATGAGGAGAAAGGTGGTGAAGGAAAAAGAAGACATATCATAATCATTATCATCATCATTATCATAATCATCATCACATCGTTATCATCATCACTACCACCACTTCCATCATCATCATTAACCCCATCACCATTATCACAAAAAGACACCAACCACCACCACATCATCACCACCACCACCGCCATCATCACAGAAAGACACCAACCACCACCACATCATCACCGTACGAACCTTTCCACGAGCGAACGACCTGCCCTCTACCGGTGAGATTCGCAGCCGCCATTTCCCGCGCGAAATTCCCCGCCATCTCCGCCTTCTCGCCCTCGTCTTCGGTTTCCACAAAGCTCTTGTAACTCCTGAGGAAGCACTGGCCGTAGTGACCGAGACCGGCGCCGAAGTCAGCCACGTTCGCGCTTCCGAACAAGTCCTCCAGCGCCCGGCACAGCTGTGGGGGAGAAGGGAGGGGGGGAGGGAAGAGGGAAGGGAGGAGGGGATTTAGGAAGAAGGGGAGGAAGGGGAAAGGGAGAGGGAGAGAAGAAGGGAAAGAGAAGGGAAAGAGGTGAAGGGAGAGGAGAGAAAGGGTAGGAATAGGCAGGAAGAAAGAGGAGAAGGCAGGAGGGTAAAAGGGGAAAGGAACGGGGACAAAGAAGAGGAAGAGGGAGGAAGGAGGGAGAGGGAAGGGAGGGAGAGATGAGGGGAGGGAAAGGAAAAGAGACAGAAGGAATAAGAAAATAAGGATATGGGTGTGTGTGTTGTGTGTGTTGTGTGTGTGTGTGTGTTGTGTGTGTGGTGTTGTGTGGTGTGGTTGTTGTGTGTGTGTGTAAAGTATAGTGGCATATAATACATAGTATATGTATATATATATAATATATTATATATAGATACTATTATACATATATACCTATATATATAATACAACATCTAATATATATAATATCTACTACTTC